CTGTTACCAGGTAGGAAAGAGAAGGTGGATGAAGTCTTCCCTTCCCTGGCCCTTCCTCCTGGCCCTCAGTATTATGGAGCATGCCCTTGGAGATGGAAGGCTGGGTCCCAATCACACACTAACAATCCCTCTCTAGGTTTCATTCCACTGTAAAGATTATAAGATAATATTATTCTCAGAATAAAGAACTTGTTCTACCAGGGCTTACTCTAATAAGAAACAAGTCTAACAATATCAATCCCAAGAAACCAGCCTCACCAAGAAGAATTTTGCTGATGGTCCAACAATGTTTCTGAACATATGCTCTAAGCCCATTTCCTGATTTCCTGGACCCGGCTGCCCCCGCTCACCGCAGCCCTGAGCTCAAGGACCAGAAGTCACACTTCATTGCCACTTGCCCTCATTCACTTTCTCAAATAACTCACCCTCCTTGGAAACAGGAAAACAAAATTAAGCAAAAAACTTTCAAGAAAAAAGTCACAGATGAAAGCAGCCAGCATTTGTGACAACATCAGGATCAAACCTGGACTAGAACAAACCTGGTCTGTGTATGGGTCCCAGCTGCTCAGACAGGGTTGAAATGACCCAGACTGGGAGAAGGCAGAAAGCAGGAAGGGCAGGGTAAGAGCCCATCCCGGTCACAGGTCTGCAGTGGGGAAGCCAGGGGTGGGGCTCTCCATTTTCCCTACACACCTCCTCCTGCTCTGCCCTGGCCTTGCCCTCTGCCTTGGGCTATTCTGCAGGTGGCAGGAATTAGTGAATGGCTGAGGCCTTTTCATCCCTATGAGGCTTTCCAGCACCCACAGTTCCTTCATGAGGGATGACTCGCAGCCTGTGGGCCTTAGAGGCAAGGCTGCCCACCCCTGGGCACAGCATCCCTTGCAAGTTCACGTCCGCTCCAGCTGCACTTCAGCAAGCCATGCCATCACAAAGCCCTCTCCGGCCGCAGTTGTGGGTAGCTGCTGATGCTTTCCCAGGGCCTTTCTACTCTGATATAATTCTGAACATTGCTGTACTCCATGGCATCAACCTGAAGGGAGGATTCAGAGACAAAAACCAAAGGTGAGGTACAGGAGCATAAGTGTGGCAGGTCACAGCCACTTGCTCCATCACCTGGGATAGTAAGCATGACTATATTTTATCACTGCCATGAAAATAACTCATTTGTATGAAGGGCTTTCTGTATGACTCCCCCTGTATGGGGTGTGAAGAGATAGATACATACCAATTCAATTGTACTGGGACTTGGGGAGATGCACAAGGCTGTCCCAGTTTCTAAAGATGAAGAAACTGAGGCATGGGAACAGTTTCTCATTTCATGCAAACATTCTGCTTCTGCGGTCTTATTGAGGTGTCACGGGAGTCGGCTGGAACATGCTGCACTACAAAGGGCCACAGCTTATCATGCCCAGGGCTTTATTGTGTTGTCCCAGCCGTCTGCACCACCATGGTGGTCCTTCACTGTCTCACATGCAGGTTGAATTTTATTATAATTTTAAAATATTTTTCAAAAGTTGGTGCAATGTTAAGGTAAATTGTTTTTTTAAACAAAATTTTATTTTGTTTTTATTTTAAAAACAAATAGTTTTTAGTACAAATTGTTTTTTAAAAGCCAATTAATTTCACATAGTTTTTAGTACAAATTAGAAATTCTCCTAACTTACAACAAAAGGACATGTAGGCATAAAATAGATACTTGGGTAAGTAGACAAATCTCTCATTCAGGATCTCAGGTGTAATAGAAACTCTTGTAATAGTTACATTGCCTTCATATGTCATTTTTTCAATAGATAGAATAGTCACATTTGGAATTCAAAAATTGTACCAAAGAATACAGCAAGGTGTCCCACTTGGGGCCCCTGGGTGTGGGTTCCCCTCCCCACAGGAAGCCAGGGTTTTTCAGGGTTATATGCGCATGCAGAAATAGAAGCGTCTACTTACATTCCTTCCCCAGGTTTAAGTCAGGTGACAGGATAGAGTGCATCTACACGGAGTCTGTCTTGACGATTGTCCCTGGCCATACAGAAAAGATTTCCTCTTTTTTGTTTATTCTGCATCCTGCTCCTTTGGGAGGAAACCAAACATTTTCATGCTAAAAATATATCACTTTATTATGAAATGGTCTTTGGGAAAAAAAATGGATCTGCTGCTGATTTTTTGCAAGTTCATGAATGTATTTTAAATTTCTCAAATTGTAAAGACAGACCCCAGGCCAGGTGAGTGGAGTTCAGGGCCCTCTCAGCCAAGTCCCTTCTGAGGACGTCAAAGACAGTCCTTTTCCCTGCTCCTTTTTGTTGCAACTATTTTGTTAATAGGCCCCCTTTTTTGTCTGTCTTTCTCTCTTTTTTGGCAGAACTGGAGTTTGAACTCAAAGCCTTCCCACTAAGTTGTATCCCCAGCACTTTTTAAATTTATTTTTTCCTATTTGTTTATTAATGCACATGTTATACAGATTAATGGATTTCATTTCTGCAGACTTGTACATGCACATAACATACTGTAACCATTTCCTTCATGATTCCCCTTGTCTCACAACTCCCGTAGTTTCACAGTGGGGAGGTGGGTCAATATGTGAAGTATATTTTGATATTTTTTTTTAAATTTTGAGACAAGGTGTTGCTAAGTTGCCCAGGCTAGCTTCAAACTTGTGATCCTCTAGCTTCAGCCTCTTAGTGTGCTAAGATTACAGGTGTGGGCTACCATATCTGGCTTCATGGACCCTTTATAAGGGTCTATACTGCAGAACAATGCCTTGTGTGCTGGCTTACCCCCAAAATAGAAGTCCCCTTTCATGGAATTAAATGTAGCTAAAGAAGTCTATGCTTAAAAGGATGCCTTACTGGCCTGCCTGTTTATCATCAAAGGCCATTCATAGGCCTCCCACAACATGGATATGACTAGATGGGACAGTCTGCTCTTCAAAACAGCCACAGGCTGGAGGACTTGGAACTTCAAGGCTTTTATAACAATGAGTGTGGGCAGTAGGGAAGGGGGCACCAAGTAACAGCAATGTGTCAAAGGCTACCACAGCCTGGAGTTCATCTAAAGAAAAGAAACTGACTTTTAAGCAAAGCTCAAAACCCAAAGCAAATCATCCCCGTATTTTAGTGGTGACATAGCTATACATTGTCCAGAGTGAAAGCTTTAAACTTAGGAGGAGGTAACACACAAGAAGAGTACACATTGCTATTAGGAAGGCATTTCTGATGAAGTGTCTTCTATCCTGGGTATTGTTTGCAACATATGCACCAACACTGTCACTTAAGTGATCCCTTAAGTGATTCCAGCTATTGTAGTAATTTTTCTCTCATTGATAAGACAAAATACCTGATGCCCAAAGGTAAGAGCTGGAAAGATTTGTTTAGCTCACAATTTGTAGAGGTTTCAGTCCATAATTTGCTGGCTCCAAGGTAGTGTGGCACATAGAGGTGCAGCAGTTCACAGGGTGGAAGAGGACAAAAGCAACAAAAGAGGAGGGAGAGAGAGAGAGGAGGAGGGGAGGAAAAGAGGAGGGGAAAGGGAAGGAGAGAGAGAGAGACCTCTTTCTGTCCCTTATGTTGTATGCAGGCTACCTGCCCTAGAGCTGATATAGCTCTCACACCCTTACTGCCAGCATTGGGATCAATTACAAAGTCTAGAAGCCCACCCACAGGACTGCATGAGGCTTTGTGGGGACATCTAGACACAAACCATGACATCAGCTCCCTTCCCACAAAGAAGGGGGACCAGGGCCTAAGTAAGAAACCTCCAGAGGTATTAGCCATCATATAGGAGCGGGGACTTCCTGTCTCAAGGCAGGCTTGGATTCATGGCATTCTGTTGTAGGAAGCCAACTATTTTCATAGGATGAAAGAATTTTATCTACTGTCCTAAGACATTGGGTACAAGTGCTGGGTGTGGAGAGGCTTGAAATGAGAAAATGCTTCTCTATATCTCAGTCTTGAGGCAAATCCAGCCTGCTCTCTATCCCTAGTGTTTCTTGCCTAGAGCTGTGAACTTCACCTCATGAAGTTGCTGGTGTGTAGCTTGCAGAAAATGCCCAAGATGCACAGTGGCTGGAAGCTCACCTAAGAAGCTCAGCCACCCATCCCAGAGCCTTTCAGGGAGTGCGAACACAGGTTATGTTCCTTGCTGGTGCCTGCAAGAGCTACCCATGCCCACCCTTTTCTACCTAGATTCATAATATCTTAGTGCTAGAATTTGAAGGTTTATACTTATGAGATTTAAATGAAAATAATTGAAAAATATGGTGAATGTTTAAATTTTTAAAAAATTATTACAGTAAAAGACTCATTGCCATTATTCTCCTTCAAAATACTACCCCTTCCCCTCACTTGGAACACATTTACCCCATCATTCTTGTCACTTTCTAAAGTAGCTCTGGAAGTTTCCCTTGGTGTCGTCAGTTGCACTATGAACGCCTCAATGTTCTGAATCAGTCAAAAATATTTACCTTTCATGGTCATTTTTACTTTAAGGAAGAGCCAGAAGTCACATGGTGCCAGATCCAGGGAATAAGGTAAATGAGGAGACAACATAATGTTTTTATAAGTCTCCCTTTCCATTAGATGGCACTCAGTGGCAGCATTCACCATATTTTTTATCACATCTAATAAAGACCATCATGAAAGAGTATTTCCAGAACTGCTTCAGAAAGTGGCAAGAATAGTGGGATAAGTGTGTCTGAAGGTGGGGGTATTATGAGAGAGATTGATGAGTATGGGTCTTTTACTGTAGGAAATTATTTTTTTCATTAAACATTCACCGTATGCCACCTCATGTAAATGTGAGTCTTGTGCTAGAGCAGAAAAAAAATGCCTGGCTCTGAATTTAGTGGTCTTGGAGAGTTTAAATGGTCTTGTTACATATGAGGCTAGAGGGTCCAGCAAGGACATGGTGAGACCACTGGGGTCTGTCGCCCTTGTTTGAAAGATGCACTGGAAACCTTTCTAAAAGCCCAGTAGCAAACCTACCCTTGTCATATGTTGTATTTGATCTAGATCATCGATAAGAGTAAAAGAGATCCCTCAGAAGAGATCGAGATCCTCCTGCGGTATGGCCAGCACCCCAACATCATCACCCTCAAAGACGTGAGTGGTCTCTGGGCAGTGTGGCCTCAGTGCCTCTGCTTTTTGTTTCTTCAGCTGACAGGAAAGCTTCCATTTATTTTGCATAAGCTCCCTGTACATGTCGAGTGTTCCTTGGGCCCACAATTGCTTGCCAAAGCCAGTTCCCACTCTGGGTACCTCTGACCCCTTGGGGCTGGTCACCCAATCTGTGAGACCTGTGTGTGTCTCTTGGATGCTCCCTACTGCTCGAGAATCACACAATGCACCAGCATAACAGAGGAGATGGCGCCTTGTGTGAATCATAACCCAGACGTGTCATGGGTTTTTACCGTAACTATAACAAAAAAGAGGCAAGGAGTCAGGGGTGAGGGGAGGCCCAGCACCAGGCCCCAACGGCTCATGCAGCTTCTTCTCAAAGCTTCTCTGGCTCTCTACTGGTCCTAGTCTCTGGCAAGAGGGGATGGAGTGGGAGTTTGCCACATGTAGCTGGTTGGGAAGTGTACAACATCCCATAAAGGCCCATGGAGAGCAGAGTTTAGGGCTAGGAAGAGAAGACAGTTTTCATCCTCTTCATGAGCCCAGAGCCTCTGAATGCCAGGGCTACCTCAGTGTCCCTTCTGGCCAGTAGTCTGTGGAGTAAGAGGGTTTTAGGTGCAGTTTACTACTGAGGGACAAAGTAAACAAGTGCCTTATGTCCAGAAAGCTTGTGTGAAGCCCTCACTGTCCCCAAGATTTACATTCATCTCCCCACTGCACACATTCAGCGCTGTTTCCAATATAAGACTGACAAGCAAAAATCAACTCATCTGAGAACTTCCTAAGCTCTCAATCCATTTCTGTTACTTTTGGGATGAGTGATTCAGTGATGGCATCCTCTTTCAGTTTTCAGAAGTAGACCAGACCGCTGGAGTTCATAAACTCAAAAATAAACATTCCAAAATTAACTTTATGCCTTTTACTAAGTTCAAAGTCAGGCACATTACTAATTTGTTCTGAAAATGCATTGATTAAATGATGATCAACGAGCTAGAAATGAGCCTATTTCAGTCCCTTGCTCTATTTTGCATGAAGTCCTTGGTGCTTGATGCCTGTAGGGTCCCCTGTGTATGGGGGCTGGGCACAAACATAGCCAAAGTTTTGCTGTGGTTGCTTTTTAATGTTGAGTGCAAGAGATTAAAGCCAGTGCTCTAAAAACTGTCTCTGCCCCTTCTCTGAGATGAAAGTGGCTTCGGTAGGGTGATCTAGCTCCAGATCTTGCTGCCTTGGCTCCTGGCACTGTCCATGGAAGTGATGTAAGGGAGAAGCAGATGCTCCCTGGAGCTGCCTAGAGATGCATGGTGCCCTCACCCGCAAGACCTGTGTAGCTGAAATATGTATCCTGACAGAATCCCCAGGTCTGTGCACACAGAAAGCTAGAAGCTTGGTTGGTCCTAGGGGACAGCACGGGCAGTGGTATGCTGCATAAGTGTTCATGCTATGAAAAGGTAGCAGCATCACCAGAGGTAGCAGCATTACCAGCATTGCTGTGAATCCCAACCACCCCATGGTGAGCCTGCTCACTTTTTTCTCACCTAGCAGGAGAGTATCAAAGCTGTTCTTTTCCCAAGTGCTACCCTGGCATGAGGCCCGTCACCTACTTGCTCTTATTCCAGGGGACACAGGTTGCAGCCTCTGTCTTCTGCCCCATCTTTCACAACAGCAGGCAGCTGGGGAGCATGGCACCAGCAACTTGCAGCCCCCTGAGGCCTGCACGTACCCTTCTTGGCTCCTAGGTGTATGATGATGGCAAGTACGTGTACCTTGTGATGGAGCTGATGCGTGGTGGGGAGCTTCTGGACCGCATCCTCCGGCAGCGGTGCTTCTCAGAGCGTGAGGCCAGCGATGTGCTGTGCACCATCACCAAGACCATGGACTACCTGCATTCCCAGGGGGTAAGGCCACAGCAGCCAGAGCAGCCTCGGGAATAGCCATAGGAGAACTGAGGCTATGGAGGTTCCAGGCAAGTCTTCTGATTGTGCTGAGTCCCTCCCAGACCATAGTCTGTCTCTTGTCCTCCCTGAGGACACAGGGAGAAAGAGTGTTCTTTGCCCTCCCTCTGAGCTGTAGCAAGACAGTTGAGACACTCTGGCCCAAGCCATTTGAAGGCATACACCCGACCCCACAATGTTCCTCTGTCTCCTCAGGAGACATCCCTTTGTGCCCTGAATAGCCACTTTGCTTTGAGGTGTCACTGGCCGTGCCATTGGACAGCCATCACTGTCCCTGTATGGTCTGCTGGAAATGCTGGTTCTTCATGGGGCACAGTCATGGTTGCTACATCTGTGTAGCCCTCTTCCTGCTCTTTACCACCATGAGTTGGCATGCCCGTAACAGCAGGCCACGTGCTGGTGCTGCCCAGCACTTGACAGTGCTTGGCATTCAGGCAGCACACGTTAAATATTTAGGTAATGAGAGCAACCTTTAGAAACCTTTTCATTCCTGCACTCACTACCTAGGTCCTTTTGTGTACCAGATCCAATAAGAAGTTCCCTCCCAAGACAGGCACTTGTTTACTTCTTTATTCACAGTCAGTCTCTACAACAGCAGGTGATGTGGACATGCTGACCTACAGCCAGCATGAGAGATGGGGTGGCCGCCCCTCTTTGCGGGACCTGCCCCTGAGCAAACAGTCCCTTCCAAGTACACTTCCCTTCTCTTCTGCTGTCATTGTGTGACACTTCCTGTCCTCCAGGTTGTACACCGGGACCTGAAGCCCAGTAACATTCTGTACATGGATGAGTCTGGAAACCCCGAATCCATCCGCATCTGTGACTTTGGCTTTGCCAAGCAGCTGCGCGCCGAGAACGGCCTGCTGATGACCCCCTGCTATACAGCAAACTTTGTGGCCCCTGAGGTGAGGTCTCTCAAGCCCTCTCTCAGAAAGATAGGCCCAGCAGGCCCAAAGAGAACTCCTGGCTGCTCTTGTGTGCAAAGTAACCAGAGGGTTGGTGTGGTGGTGTGATGGCATGGTGGGCTCCAGCAGTGTAGGAAAGATGTGAGGACCTCTTATAGACAGAAAGGAGAGCAAGCCCTCCTGGAAATCAGCTAGGCTTGCCCCTATGGTTAAATCATTTTACTTTCCTACCTGAAAAACATTTAGATGGTGACATTTTCACTTAAAATTGTCATGGTGCTGTGGACAATTTAGATCAAATCTGCGTATCTTTTACGAGTGAGACTGAGGTAACAATATGTGGGGACACAGAGCTGATGGGTTGTCTGTGATCAGACCCATCTGTTCCAGGAGGGAGACTGAAGTTATGCACTTTTCTGTACAATAGTTCCTGTTTCATGTTGCCTTCTCTAGCAGAACCACATTAACAGGCGCTGAATTTAAGAATACCAGGTTCCATAGCAACTTGCAGCTGAAAGCTCACATATGTACATAGGACCCTGTCTGCTCCTGGGCACCTCTCAAACAACCTCAGTGTGGGCATCTTGTGAAGCCCCCTTTTCAAGTTCTCTGGGGCCATTTTCCACTAGGTCCCAAGAGCACTACTGTGTGTGTGAAAATAAATTCACTTCTCTTTGTGTGAGCTGATGGTAGACAGAGGAACAGGGTGATAGGGCTGGTGCTGCTGCTGAACTGTGTGGGGTATGGAGGTTGAAGGAGACTTGACTCTTTGAATCCTTCTGATTGAAACTCTCCAAGCTGCTCCAGCCTGAATGTGGCCAAGCTACGAGTCTGAGAAAAAGGCAGCCTGCAGCTTGCAGTGGCCCAATGGCTCAGTGGAACCCATGGCCACTGGTCCCCAATAACAGTGCTCCTGTGTCCTGGGACATGCAGCTGGGGAGTGGGCTGAGAAATCATTCTTCGGGGTCATTCAAACACTTGACATACCTGTGCCCCTCTGAAAACAATTTCCACTGATTCCCTAGTTCATCAGTGTTAATATAGAAAGGATTGCTAGGAAGGAAACTAATTTTTCCTCAGCCCTTATAAGGTCTAAGTCCAAAAAATCAGACCGGCAAGAGTAACACAATTATGAATACGGCTATTTCACAGGTACATAGGAGACACCCAGAGAAGGGATGATTCTCAAAGCAGTGACTTTGAACTTGGCTTCTGTGGCCTCTTCAACACAGATCAGTGGATTCTTAGAGAAGGGGCACGGCAAGGAGAAGGACTTTGAGGCACTGGAAGTAGCAACTCATGAGAAGGCAGATAATGGCTGCTGGCAGAACCAGTCAGTGTAGCTCCTCGGGCACACGTCCAGGCAGAAGGGTCTGAAGCCATCTTGAGTGATAAACTTAGTATTCCAGATGGGGTCAAATGCCTTCCATCCCTGTGACACTGTGTCTTGCTTCCAGGCAGCAGCAGGTGCAGGAACGTCCTGCACCTGCTACTGCTTATTTACCGAAGTTCAACAGTACTCAGACGAAGAAAGGGGCACATCTGGGGAAGCATGATCTGGTGTCCCACAGTATTGAGTTTATTACTTATGAAGTGCACTGTATCGTTATATAAATGCCATTTACAAAGTACTTTTGACATTTTTTACTTCTCTCTCATATACCATAAGGGCAGAATACAAACAATTATCCCTCTTTCATAGATTCAGAAAAAACAAACAACTTGATGTGTTTACAGGGCTTTTACAGATCACTCAGCCAATGGAGTATGAAGCTAGGTCTTAGACAGTGAGCATCCAGTCATTCAGCATGTGAAAGGAAACTGAACAAAGGGATTGAAAGCAACTCTCCTAACCCTTTGTTCAACACTAAGACAATAATCTACAGGAATCTCTGAGCATTTATGCTGCCTTCCTCATTGTTATCAACTATAAATATATCAAGAGGATGCCTCAGTAATTCCTCCAAAAGTGAAACATAGAATTATCATATGATCTAGCATTTCCACTGCTAGGTATATACACAAAAGAATTAAAGCTATTTGTCCACCCCTGTTCGTAGCAGCATTAGTCACAGTAGCCAAAACAGTAGCCAAAGCAACTCAAGCCCATCAGTGGATGAATTTTTAAATAAATTTTTGATGTGTGTGTGTGTGTGTATGTAATATTATTTAGCTTTTAAAAGGAAGGAAATTCTGATATATACCACAACATGGATGAACTCTGAGGACATTACACAAGTGAAATAAGTCAATCACAAGAGGATGCCTATGGTAGTGTTATGAAACCCAGTATCAAACTGGATGGAAAACTCTCTGCACCAAGGAGTCGGAAGGCAAACAACTCTATTACGCTGGGGGCTGATGGGGCATCACTCCCAAAACATCAGCCCAGAGCCAGCTTTGGGCTTAGTTTATATAGGTTTTGCAAGCCAAAAGTACAAAAGCTTAAAAGCATGAATTTTTATTGGGTAGCTTCAATTATTCTTTGTTGCTGGTCAGAACCAGCAACAAGTTAGCAAACAGTATGTTTGGGGGTGAGAAAGCACAGGCTGTGAGCTGGGTGTGGTCAGGCTGAGCTGGGTCAGGTTATCTCTGGAGTAGTCAGTCAGGGCTGAGTGAGTTTAACAGAGGAGCTATGTGGGGGGCTGTATGATCTCATTTTGTGTCACACTACTAGTTGGTGTAGACTACTAGTTGATGGTGTCAGACTACGTTGATTTTTAAATTTTTAAAATTTCCATCACAGTAGGATTCCACTTATACAAAGTCCCTAGAGTGGTCAGATTTGTAGAGACAGAAAGAATGGTGGTTGTCCAGGCTGGGGAAGGGCGGTGGAGATTTGGCATATGACAGGGACAGAGTTTCAATCTGGGAAGATGAGAAAGGGCTGCTGTCGGACAGTGCTGACACTGTGGATGTGCTTAATGCCACAGAACTGCACACTTAGCAATGGTTAAGATTGCTGGGCATGGTGTGTCCATGTAATCCCAACAATCTGGGAGCCTGAGGCAGAAGGATTGCAAGTTCAAGCCCTGCCTGGGCAACTTAGTGACTTAGCAAGACTGTCTCAACATAAATAAAAAGGGCTGGGGATGTCATTCAGTGTGAAGGCCATGGGTTCTAACCCCACTGTGGAAAAGAAAAAGGTTACGATGGTAAGTGTGGGAAAACGTCCTCTGCCTTAAACAAAGGCACCTCCTTCTAAGTCTGCCCACCGGCCTGGCGGCAACGTGCACTCAGTGGTCTGTGAAGGGCCTGCTGCTGCCCGTCACTCTGCTGCTTGTGGTGTGGCGGGAACATGCTCTGGAGCTGAGGCCCCTACTGAAGTACTTCCCATGCCTCTCATCCCTTGTAGGTTCTGAAGCGACAAGGCTATGATGCGGCATGTGATGTCTGGAGCTTGGGAATCCTGCTGTACACCATGCTGGCAGGGTAACTGACGGTCCCAGAGGGTGGCAGGAGCAAGGACACACTCCTCAGCAGAGGGCAGGGGCTGGTCCCTCCCCAGGAAATGAATTCAGGCAAACATCACATAGATACAGCCCCAGCTGGTAAACACATTCCACCTTCCTTAGTGCCTCAGGACAACTACAGCTCAAGGATCAGAAACAAAACTTCCAGGCCTTTGCCTTCTAGTCTACATACTGCTGGTTGTGTGGACCACATCCATACCTTGGAGGTGTCCTCCTGGCCAGGAAGCATCTAGGAGCTCCAGAGTCAAAGAGCCTCTTGAAGATGGCTGTCCTCAGCAGCCCTCTGGCCTCAGGCATGTCCAGCCAGTCTCTGGTGAAGACATGGTGTATACAGCAAGAGAGCAGGTCTAGATGCCCGGTTCCTACTGAACTCTGCTTCTGCAGCTCTGAATTCTGGGCTGACCCTTTCCTCACATCAGCTTCACTTCCTTCTTCAAGTCTGGCGAGGATGTGACAGGGCTCCTTCTCCCCAGAAGAAGGTCCCCAAGGTTTTTATTAAATACTAGAGTGTACCCTAGACCATCCATGCTGTAGCCCTCACAGGAGGAAGGAGGTTGGCCTGCATGTTCAGAATTCATGATAAATTAGTAATTCATGTCCTCATCAAGGGGCTAGCTCCCAGGAGCAGGGAAGAAGTCTTTGAGGACACAATGGCAAAGGAGGTCATGGAGCTCTTCCAGTACCATACCACAGGTCACTCTGAGGTCCCTCTGACACTCACACTGCCCTAAGAGATGTGGTGGGTGCAGGGGCTGAGAGATTCCTCCTTTCGGGAATGTGCACTGAAGTGCCTTATTTCTTCTATGAATGTGGGATGAGCATCTCTCACAAGGAGGGTAGGAAGGACGGGGCTGACCTTTCTTGTGTATTTGCATGTATGACCTGCAAGTTCCTGTGAGTATATTACTCTACTCATTTTTTGATTGAGGTTCAAAGAATTAATTTGTCCAAGAACCTGGAGTTGGTAATAGATCCACCATAGGTCCCTCAGACTTTATACCTCTGGCTGTCATCCATGATGCTGCACCATCACCATGGAAATAATCACCAGGCAGAACCCTGTACCACTCTGTGATCAGTGTGACCCAAGGGGGCCTAGAAAATTCACAAGAGCTTTCCTCACCCACCTCATCAACTTCTAGCATTAATAACCAAGATTTTTTTTAAAAGTGAATATAGCATTAGGAAATACACTGTGCTTTACAATGAATCTGAGATTTAGAAAATAACAGGGGAAAGAAAACTTGCTTCCTTTATCAACGGAGTGCCAATATTAAGTGCAAACTTTATTTTATATTGTAAAATGGAAGCTTATTGCCACCAATTCTCTCACTTCAGATTTACTCCTTTTGCCAATGGACCCGATGACACACCTGAGGAGATCTTGGCAAGGATTGGCAGTGGGAAGTATGCCCTCTCTGGGGGGAATTGGGACTCCATATCTGATGCAGCAAAGGTGAGTGCACCTGCCAGCATTCTTAACTCTTGATCGTGGAGGTTTCACAATAACCATATTGTTTGTGAGGAAGCTAGAAGATACTGTCCATATAAATAGGATAGATATTCTATTCTCATGATATTTTTAAGTCTTGTGGCTAAAAAAATTATTTGCAAAGAGAAATCACATTTTCTGTTAGTATGTTAGTTAGGGTTCTACAGAAAAACACAACTAATAGGAGACATAGACACAGACAAATATAGACATAAATGTTTAGAGACAAAAAGAGAAGAACCTCTAGTCCTCCAAACTCAGGTGAAACTGTGGATAGCATGTCTTGAGGGACAGAAAGGGTACTGAGGATTGAATTCAGAGCCTTGCACATTCTAGGCAAGTGAGCTAGCACTAGCCCTACTTCCTGCCTGGAAGCATGTCTTTATCCACGTCCTGGAGGTGCTGAATGAGAATGGACTGCTTCCTGCTGTGTCATGGGTATGGGATCTTGAGCAAGTCAGTAATGTTCTCTTTGCTTCTACTTTCACGTCTGGAACTGGGAACAGTCCCACTTTCAGCAGACATTTCTTCAAGGAGGTACGGAGGTTGATGTTACCAGGTAATAAACCATATTGTCTTTCTCTTCAGAAGCAAGATGTCTTCTGAAGAAGACTTCATGTTACTTTCTAATCCCTGAGACCGAATACCTGATACCCACAGTTTAATGGAGAGGAGATTTACTTTGGTTCACAGTGTATAGAGGTAGTGGACTTGTTCCAAGGCAGGGTGGCACGGCACAGGAGTTCCCGGTATGGCAGGCAGGAAGCAGAAAGAGATCAATGGAGGAGGGAGGGATGTGCACCCTTGCAGGCCAGGCTCCCCATGCCCCACCTTTTCCCAGCATCACATTTAGCTGTAAGCACATCAGCAGATTAACTACTGATAAGTGTCACACACCCATGATCCAATCACCTCCCAAAAGCCCCACCTATGACTATATGAGGCTTTGGGGGACATTTTAGATACGAACCATAACAAAGGGTATTGTTGCAGTATATAGTATTTCTTTGTTGTGGTTTATGATGAGAAATTCTATTGACAGATTCAAATTCACACTATATACACATTCAAATTCATTTTAGTTCCTATTTAAATATGGTAGGAATACCAAAGGAAGGAGAGCAGGCTAAGGGGGAGAATGTGACTCTTGTCTTAGGTCTTTTTTCAGGGGTTCATCACTGTGAACTTCAATAACTTCATCTGCAGAACGGAGGAAGAAATACTTGCTCTGTTCACCTCAAGGCCTATATGAGGACCAGCTATAGTGCAGTGTGGAAGTACAAGGCTTTTCATGAAATACAATGCAAATGTAAAACGCTTTTGATTGAACACGTATGGCATTGTATGACCACATGCATGGGTTGTCAACATATATATACAGTATAAAGTAGAGCTCTATATTTAAACCAATTTTAGCAATTTTATTGTTGTTATACTAAAATAAGGATTACCTTGATTGGACATGAGCCACTGGCATATGATTATCTGTAAATTTGTAGACAGTCCTGATAAAAAATGATAAAAAAGAACTACATACATTGTTATTAGTTTGTATCTGTGGGACATTCATTATTTCAGCCTCCCCTAGGGTAGGCTATCATTTTTATTAAAATAATATTTTACCAACTTACCCATATCATTTAACATTTTAACATTTAATTTCCAATTGGATGTAAAATCTTTAATGAAATGTAAGCCCTCTGTGAACTGCTAACTTTGCGATCCTTAAGACAAACACCATTTACATGCCCATAAGCCTAAAAGTAATCATTTGACCCCAAAACAAGTCACCCTCAAAACAGCTATTGGGTTTCACCATAAAGACATGGAAGACCTTCTGCTAGGCATCTGTCGACCAGCCCAGCACCTTCTCCCCTGTGCCCATGACCCTCTGCAGGATGTTGTGTCCAAGATGCTCCATGTGGATCCGCAGCAGCGCCTGACAGCTATACAAGTGCTGAAGCACCCATGGATTGTCAACAGAGAGTTCCTGTCCCAGAACCAGCTAAGCAGACAAGACATTCACCTGGTGAAGGTACCAAGTGGCTGTGGGGACAGGTGGGGCCATGGAAACTGCAAGTGTTCCTTAGGTACCAACTAGCCACTTTATCACACATGTGCAGCCGCACCCAGCATTCATATTTGAGTGACAACTTCTATGCAGGGGAGAGTGGCAGGTGTGGTGGTCATGTGGTCTCAAGGTCCAGGGCCCTCAATTCTAGACCACAGGCCTGCAGACAGCCCTGTTGTGCCAGTGCTAGACAGTGAGAACAGCGTTCATTTCTCAGGCAGCTGTATTTCGGACAGGAGCCCTCTTCCGACATCCTGCAGGATGCACCATCATCTAGTTAGATATGGTCTATTCTGGATCCATCCTGAGGATTTGGAACTACTCCAGGATAAGCCTGGTCACCACATTAGTCTAGACTACTCCGAAGTGGCAAAAACTGAGGTTGATGGTCTCTGGAATTGGCCATGACTGTGTTCCTGAGGACCCATCAGGCCTCAAAACAGACCTGGCCTCCCTGTCAACAGCAAGCAGATCATATGTCCTCATCCTAGGGCTCCACACAGGTTTGCAATACCTGCCCCTCAGGCACAAGCACCTTTGGAGGCTGGTGTGAAATGGTGACTGGACGTGATGACATTAAAATGTGTGGGCCCGTTGTGTGCCCAACACTGCAGCAAACTCACCACCCTCAGGGCCCCGGTAATCCTGGGGACAGTACCTAAGGCCCTGCAGAGTCCTGTGGCTCAGGCACCCCACTCAGGAGTCACAGGGCACCACGCTCATCTTTGCCTTTCCTTTCTCCTTTAGGGCGCAATGGCAGCCACCTACTTTGCTCTAAACAGGACACCACAGGCCCCACGGCTGGAGCCCGTGCTGTCATCCAGCCTGGCGCAGCGCAGAGGCATGAAAAGACTCACGTCCACGAGGTTGTAGCAGTGAGCAGCACCCGGACGCCAGCCCCCGCTGTCCTGCCCGGTGCCCTCTCAGGCTCCTAGGCATTGGACATGGCCCCGCTCACAGGCACCAGAAGTGACCACAAGTCCAACCCAAAGGCAGAACTGGCCTTCACTGTCTCTGTGTTTCCTTCTCGGCCCCGAAGAGGGTCCCATGGTGACCCTCAGAGTCTCGCTGTGCCGAACTTGCCGCCTGCTCTCTCCTTCACTCCTGCACAAAACCAAATGAATGCAGTCTCCTCGCATCACCATGTCGGAGCCTGGGCTGCTCCCAGGGTCCTGGTCTGTCCATGTCATGGTGTGTAGTTATAGGGAGAGATTCTGTTCAGCTCTGAAGCCAGTAATGTGGTCAGACTCCCAACACGGGTGTTCTTATTACTGTAGGGAGAAGGATGTCATGAGGGGTCCTGTCAGGTGACTACAGAGCCCCTCTGAGGGGCTGGATGCATCCAGGCCTCTCAGGGTCTTGGTGTCTTGATAGCCACATGAATGGGGTGGCAGGGTCATTCAGGTTAGAGGCCTAGTCCTGCCCAAAATCATCCAAAGAGCTGTCCTCTCACCTCCAGTCGTGAGGTAGGCGCTGGCTGCTTTCTCCTTCCCTCCCCCAACCTGTGAGAGCAGAGGGCCCTGTGGGAGGTGGCCAGCTAGGTCTGTATTTCACAGCCCCATCGCACAAGGGTCTGGACGAGCCCTGCAAAGGAAAGGAGTCCAGTGGAACCAGCACCACTCTGTCTAGACTGTCCCTGGAGAGGCTCACCCGATGTCCCCAGCTCACTGATGACAGAGAGAGCAGAGCCTCTTTGGGTCTGCACATGCCTCCAAGGCCAAGGTTTTGCTGTGTTCACTCCCTTCATCATTCTGGTCTTCAGAGAAGCTATGAAGGGTGGAATGTGTTGTGTTGCCACCTCGCCCATCCCTACCTCCATAGGACTGGGGAAAGGAAGGAGACATCAATCCCAATACTCACTCATGGAGGCAGGAAGGCCAGGCATGCCATCAACAGCAGAGATGCACTTTGTAGAAGCTGTGGTTTATGTTGCGTTTTGTGTTTCTGTTGCACAGATGTGTTTTTAAATCAGCATTTCATTTACACTGGTGTGGTGTATACACATAAGTGTTACTTGTGGAGTAGAATGGTGTGAGAACCTTCTTATGTGGCAGGCTCAGCCAACCCTCAAGGACATATGTGTTCTCCAGCCTCCTTTGGGGATACTGAGGATGCCCACAGCCAGGCCTAAGCCAGGGGATCCCCGACCAGGCTGGACAGGGAATGCTGTCACCTGTGGCTCATGACCCCTGCTCCTAATACCACTGAGGAATAGCCCCCTCTATAGCCAGTGGTGACTGAGAGGCCCCTGTGGGTCACACCAGGTTTGCACTCAGAAGACCAGGGATATTTCATTTTCCCTCCATCTTGATTCACTCTAGAACCCAGTACCACACCCCCTAAGAAGTGCTGAATTCTGGAAAATAACTCATCTTGGTTTAATAGTTTTCAGATCTTAAAATATAAATTTGTTTCATAAGCTTTAATTATTCCATGAGACTATTTTTTTGAGAGAACTGCAAAAAACTAAAAGGTGAGGGACAGATTTTGTACCTGTCTTCAGAGGGCCTATTGGGCACTGCTCATATTTTCAGAGTAGAAAATGCTTTCTCCCAAGGCTAAAGTGATTTTCCCAATCACTTCAAGATTTAGGACTGAATTATTTCATTTCTTATTAGAAACCTAGGGAAAGGCGAATAGTACATAGGTCATAGATTTCATCCTCTAGAAATGTGCAAAAGTCATTTAAATCCTCTGCTTGCTACACAGGCATAGATTTTCCCGTCAGCTGCTCACAGCCTTGGCTGTAGTTGGTTGGTTCACTTCCAGCCATGAATTCTGATGCAGGGGCAAGGACCAGGGAAGTGAAGCAGAGCACATCACCGAGAAAGCAGCATTGCACAGTATCTGTGGGCTTCTACAGCCCATACACCATCTCCTTCAGTAATGCCCGCTTAACATGCCTCATGGTCTGAGCCACAAACATGCCGAAAGGATGGAGGTGACCATCGCCCAACTGTCCTTGACGTGTATGTGATGAGAGTCTGTAAAATACCTTTATTTTCCTGCCCTTCCTTAGAGAACAGTGATACTTGAAGTTCCCCGTAGAAAATCAGCATAAAGGGGTTATGGATGGAAGTCTTTTAATTCAGTTTCTAAAAGTCTTACAGGAAACAGCAGGTGATTGCAGTTTATAAGCAGTAGGGAGTGCGTGACTGTGGGTAGCATTAGTGTTTATCTCCCCATCCAGTGAACACCCCTGTCCATCACAAAAGGCTCCACATGCTTTGCACAGATGATATAGACATCTCAGGAAGTTCAGTGTCCTCCCTGCTCACAGAGAGTCATAGCCCCTTGGGATCATAAGACCATAGAATTTCTCATGAGAAAACCCAATTTCCATCCCAGGCTTCCTAACCCAGTGCTGAGTGGCCCTGTCCAGGCCCCTCCTAGGGCCATTCTGCCTATCAAACCCCCAGTTTGGGAAGAATACCCAATTCACCCCACTGGTGGGAGGGCTTTGCAGGATTCCAACCCCAAAGTCAAATGTGGGTGAGACATTAGGATTTCAATTTGATCCTAAGGTCAGATTTGTGCAAGATTTTAAACTAGCCCTGTGTGTGCTGTTTGGAATATTGTTCCTGAGTGATAGTAGTACTTAATGTTAGCCAGTATTGTGCGGTAAATGGTGTTATTTCTGAAAATGCACATGGGATTTTTACTTATGCTTTACCAATTCTATCAAGCACAGGATAAAATTTGTTTCAGGCTTCCGTCTCTGACATGTTCAGCTGCCCCACACCTTTCAGAAGTTGTAAAACTTCCAGACTGGGAGAGGATGCTACAAGTCCCTGAGTGGTAGGGAGAGGTGTACGGTGTAACTCAGGGTGGTTTCAGAGCTTAGGAGGGGACTCCACACACATCCTGGTTGCCCTGCCCCATGCGCTGCTCTGTCTGCTCCTCTGACTTGGCACTTTGTTTACAAGCTCAGCAGTTGTGTTTACAGACCATTTTCATGTTCGCGCTTTATATATTTCATGTTTGAGACGGGCGGCCACTGTACAGATATTTATTATGCTTTCCAGACTTTCGGAATAGATTTTTTTGAATAAACATGGATTTTATGAAGTGTAATATTTTTCTAATATAACAAAAACCTTTGGATTTTCTATGTTGTCACTAATAACAGTTCCAGGATAACCTCCTTATTCTTCTGTTCATCCCACTGTTTACAGGCCACTATGAGCCTCTGGTATACCACACAGCACCTCACAGAGTCCTGGACAGCCTCCCATACCTCTCCTGAGATACCTGTGTGTGTGTGTGTGCATCTCATGTGGAGATGGGCAGCACCATAATCACTGCCAGCTAAGAGCCTGCGTATGTGTTCATGTGCATATCTATGCTTGTGTGAGTTCATGCACCCATGGGTACATGATGCACAAGTGTGTGTATGAATGTGTTCACACTTGGGAGCATCATGTGCATGTGTGTGCACATGTTTGCATGTTTACACATGTGTGTAGAGGTGTGAGCATGAGTAAATTTACAAGTATGACTGTATGCCCACATGTAGTATGTATGTGAGGGTGTGCTAGTGCATATGTATGTACATGCATACATGTGTGTGTGCATTTGAGTGTACCTCTGTGAGGCCTGCACTCCTGTGAGGAGCTCAGCTGTGCTGGGACAGGCGCACTGGAAGGAGACAATACACAGTCATCTTGTGACAAACCAGGTGACAAGGGGTGACTGCCAGGGACAGTGTCTTTCTACGTCTTGTGTTCTTTGCCAGCTGGCCTTGCGGACCCTTCCTGTCTTAATATGGAAGAAGCAAACCTTTACTGGCCTTTGGTTCTCCAACCTAATTTCTTCTTCCCATCTGTAAATTCCTAACCAGCATGTTCTAACAAGCTACACACATATCCCATCACACACACCACACAAGCACACATGCATACACTTTGCTGGGTGTTGTGTGCTGGGCCCCCCAGCACAGGAGGGCTCCACCTGAACTCTTATGCCACTCACAAGGGAATTTCAGAACAAACAATAAATGCGCAAGAAACCCTGCCTCGCCACACCCAGCACACGCTAGCAGAACGCCACCTAAAGGAAATATACGTTGAAATCTGCATGTAGACCTTATGTTCTGTCTGTTATTTTCTATTTTGCCTCAATAAGTCCATCAAATCTGTGATATAAAAAAATTCTTTGTCTTCTCATTCTGTAGTGCAAAAGCAACAGACAGTTCTCACCTGTTCCCCCTGCAGACCCACCAACGGCAGGTTGACTCCTTCTCACAGCCTGTCACTCAGTCCCCCCGCCCCCCGCCTCAGCCAACTTGAGGTCCTGTGATTACGCTGGCCACAGGGACAGTCCAAGATACTTTCCCGACTTGCTTTTCAGAGGCTGCATACAAGAATTTATGCATATTACAGACAAAAAGGAAAGACAAAAGCAAATGGACAGAAAAGTATCAGGTCTAAGGTTAAGAATTTTAAAATTCGTTAAACTCTGCCCTAAATGCACCATCATTCAAAGCCGCAAACGGCTCTCTTTCTGTCTGCTGTAACCAGAAGCCTCCTGATTTTAAGATCAGCTAATTAGCAGCCTGAATTCCTCTGAGTCATATATGGGATCCAGAGATTTCCGGTGACCTGGGCTAGCACTATTCCACCCACCATATTGCTTCTTGCACTCAGCTTCAGTGTTGTTTTGGCCAGGGGAAGAAAGGGGGTAAGAACTGAGTTGTGCTGAGCTTGAAAGCTGACAAGTCTCCACCCCAGACTCATGATGCTAAGGATGAGCAGAGCTCCTGGGTCAGAGATCACAGCACTTAGCAAGAGCAGCGTGTTCATTGGTGCCTTCGGCCAATGTTACACACTGCGGCCAACAGACCCACCTGCCTCCTCTCCAGTCCTTATTACACTGGACAACAGTGGCGCTCCCTTTTACAGGGGAGACTCCTCCGTCCTCTCTACAGATGTCCCTGGAAAGCTGGTCTAGAACAAAAGTAGCTGTGCATTTTCACTTGGAAATGCAAGACAGCATGGAGATTTGCCTTCCTGTAGTAAGTGGCTCAGGCTTGTCATCACTGTCCCCAAATGCTGAACTGAATGTTACCCAACATCCACTGAGGCCTAGGAGAGGAAAGAGAGGCTGTGCTGGGCTGTTATGGGTCCTACAGAGACATTAGCTTAAGTCTTCATCTCAAACATGTTGAAGGGTGTAAACACCAGTCTCTTACAGGACTTGAAGTCCATTTGCCTTTTACTCAAAACGCCACTTGTTTTCGCAAAGCTCAGACACTTCCTTGTCCCAAGAGATGCCCATTAAGGTCTGAGCAGTGTCTGACAACAGGAAGCCAGACTTGCAAGGGGCTGCAGGACCCCAGCTCCTCATTTCACAAGACCCTCAGGGCCACTGAGCAAAAGCTCCTGAGTCACCCAATTTCAGGGTTCGGCAAACCCTTGCATCTTCCCTTACATCATCCCATGAACTTCCAGGGTAAATAAACAAATCTTTGCAAAGAAGGATCCGACATAACATATAACTACTAAGGTACAGAGCCCAGCCCTGGTCCCAGTTCTGCATCCCTGTTGTGGGGTCCTCAATCTCAGTTCCTGAACCTGGACTTAGGCCCGACTCTCAAGAAGTATGAATAGTCCAGCATGGGGAGAAAGAAAACAAACAGTAACTAAGTAAGATACACAGAATTCCCCAGATCAGTGATGGCGAAACTTTTAGAGCTTTCGATGATAACAAACAGCCAGTTGTGGCAAGTGTGCCATAGGTTCACCACTGCCCTAGACAGAGAATGGAGCGGGGCCCAAAGGGCTGTGGTTATCAGGAAGCAGAGGGATGCAAATCAGAGCGAGGTCCAAGGCTACCACTTTCCAGTAGTCAGCCTGTATGACTTTCCCTATTCCTCCCACCCCAGTAGTGGCTGAATCTAAGAATCTACAATCAAGGTGAGCCTGGCACACTGGCATCCACCTGTAGTCGGCTGCTCAGCAGGAAGAGTTGTTGAGCACAAGAGTTTAAGGCCAACATGAGCAACACAATGAGACTCCCATCTCAAAAAAATAGTAATAATAAAAGATTAAAATCATGTCAAATAAAAAATATTCATATATGGTATCTGTCCGGCTTGGTTGTGTTTGTCATATTGCTCTGATCAGGAAAAACAATAAACAGATGGCTTAGAAACAATCTTTAAGATGTTATTGTCATCACACCTGAGTTTAAGCAAGAAGCCAAAAATTAAATTACACTGCAGTTTCAGCTTAGTAGCAACAACATTGCTGACCCTGAGTGTAATTTAAGGGTTCCCATGTGTTTCTGTCCACAACCTGAAGGATGTGTGGAATTATCTGCTGATCCTAGTGGTCCTGGGTTCTGCATTTGTATGCAGGTTACGTGGGAGGATTGGAACTTTGGCACAGGGAAAGATGACAACATCTTCAGGCTTCCAGACTCCATTTCTTTGTTATTTAAAACTGTGGATTTAGGGTTGGGGTGAGACAAACTTGAGCCAGTAGGTTTTGTTTTTCTTCACAGAGCAGAATTACAGTTCAGGGTTGTAATCTTATATTTCCAGCAGCTCTGCATCTCAGAGAACCACTGGCAGTGAGCAGGAAAGCAAGACATTCACACAGGGAGAACATTAATGGCCTCTCAAAACCTTAACTATCTTAGGTGTATAAATATTCCTCTTGTCTTGCAGAAATGTTTATCGGCAGGGTTATAAAATATGCCCCGGGCAACACACAGGCTCTTATTATGTATAGATTTACATTATTTTACCTTTGAAAAATCCAGAACATTTCCAATTCTGAAATATAGACAGTCCAAACTTCTTGGATAAGAAATTGTAAGCTGCAGTTCCATTGATCCCACCACATGCTGACCTCTTTTCTATTTCTACCCATCTCTTTTTCTAGTTATTTCAGCAGTGGCCACTTACAGGTAGAAAACAGCAGAAACCTAACTCCCACAGCTGTGGGAATGGTGTTAGAAACCAATGTGAGCACCCCCTTTGCTTAACGGGCCTCGAGTGTGAGAGCAGCCCTCTCACCACTCACACCTGCCTGCTCTACAAACCTCTCCCCACGCCTCAGAGAAGCCCTTCAGGCTCAGAGAGCTTTAACGCAAACAGGTAGGTCCCCGAGCGGGCTGCACGAGCTCCGTGTTCCATTCCCACTGGGAGTGTGGCTGCACAAACCCTAAATGGACCTCGATGTCTTCAGTGGGTGACTGTGGCCTTGTTGAAAGGGCAGGTTGATTTCTTTTCCTTCCAGAATCTTTTACCAAAGTGTCCCTAGTTGCGCGTGTTTGCAGTTGTTACAAACTGCCACTAGAGGGTGAGAGGTCCCCGTCCTCAGAAAGGCCCTTGAGCAATCCAGAGTAGCACACATGAAAGCCTTTGCCAGGTCTTCTGTCACTGAGCCCGTATCAGACAGAACAAGGGCACTGTGCTGGACAGAACCCCTCGGGGGACACTTCCCGCCCAGGACCCGCCTCTGGTTCCAACAGCTCTTCGAAAGTGATTGCCGCACTGGATTCAAATAATCCACACACCACACTAAACCTGCACAGGTGGAAACGGCAAGACTCTGAGTTTGGCTGGCTTAGGATATATTAACACTGGTTATCTCACATACAGGAGAAAACCAAAATGCCTCCTTTAGAGGAGCAAACAAGTTACTTAAGTTACTTCTTCATTAGACAAAATCTAATATAACAGGGCTTCAGGAAAACTTAATTCACAAGAGGCCCTTCACTGTGAAGTGACTGTGAACTAAAGCCTCAGGGAACTCCTAAGAGACTCCGGATGTGCCTGGTAGGAAGCCAAGCACCTGTGTTTTCAAAGCATCCGCTGTAACTCAGCTGATCTGCTCTGCAATGCCAGGTGCAGCTGTGAATCCTGTGATTTAAAGCAATAATGTGTCATCTCCACCTGGACCTGCCCCTGATTTTGCATTCATCATGTGCTGCAAAGTGCCATGTGGATGTGCCACCAGCATCTCACCCTGGCTCTGCAACCCCAAGTCTACTGTCTTCTTCCCAGCCTCGGCCTCCAACAGGCCACTCTTCTTAATTTCCTAGCTCAGTGGAAACACCATTATAAA